AGAAGAGCTTTTGTGTGTTGTAAAAATTACGTTGGAGTCCACCTTTTTTACAGATATTCAATTTTGATATTTTTCAAGGACGATCACGTTCCATTCCCTCGTATTATCAGAAACAGGATCCATTATGTGAAGCCGACTGGTTGGAATATCGAGTCTATTGCGCAGAAGATAAATTATGCGACTATGCTATGGGCCAACACGATTGAGAATTTTCAAAATGAGGAATTCTTATGATTTGACGAAGTGTTGTTGTACAGTATCTTTTTCTGAGATTTCTCTGGAGAAATGTCTACAGAAGTATCCAACGCGTGAAAATGAATTAATTCAGAGAAGTTCTTCAGTTATTCGTATTGGACGTGATTTTCATTATTTTAGTGTATGACACAGTTGATGTGAGACGAACCGTATTTTCATTCTATTTACTTTTCCTGGTGTCCAGGCAATTCCAGCGAGTCTCGACGGAATTTTCCCCACGCTGAAACGCCCTCCAGCGAATCCGAACGAATATTTCCTACAACTCTTCCCAGATGTTGAAAAATTTCGGGGAAAGTTCGTGAAGAAATTGCAAGGATCCTGGATGGTGGAATTGGAATCGAAGGATGGAAGATCTGTCGTTGAGGCCTTGTGCAGAGATGGCTATGTTACTCGCAATCAGACCCCGGAACCCCAAAGGTTAGGAATGAATTATTTCGCCTCTAAATTTTATTATTTTGCTAAAATGTAAATAAATTCGATGTAAATAATCTCGAAAAAAATTCTGGGCTGACTTGTTTTGATAAATTTGTCTCACTTCTTCGGTTAAAAAAGTTCAATCGAATAGAAGGATAAAGAATACATTTTGAACCAAATCGATCAGGCTTTTAAAGACGGGAAATCATCAAGAATTTGCATTTTCGCATCATTTTGGTGTGATTTTATCTTGCGTTGAATTGCTTGAAAGGAATGCGAATGCTGTACTATATTTCAAGTATTTTTTCAAATCAATATTTTGTGTTTCAGAAATGTGACGTCTCCGTCGGGTCCTCAAGCGTCACAGCCAACGTCTCCCAGACGGGTTCTTTTGCCCACTCCGAAATTGCCTCCTGCCCCGTTTGTCAAGTTGAATACGTCGCCGAAACGGACTTTTCCATCGACTCCGAGACCACCGACGAATAACCATCCTTCATACCCACGGAATTCTGTGTCTCCAACGACGAAACAACCAATTTTGCCGAGTCCTCCCCGAATGTCCACTCCGGTGTCCCCGCCGAAGCAACCCGTAAATTCATCTCCAGGGAAAACGAGTCCTCTTTCCATCCCGACTTCCCCGAAAAAGGCGCCTCAGAACCACGAGGAATGTTCGCCAACTGCGGGATTGTATCTGCCGCATGCGTCAGACAGCATAACGACCAATTCCAAACACGACGTGTTCTTGTCTTGGTTTGAAAACGTGAAAGTGTTATACCTGCAGCTGGTGAAGCAGGAAAAGCGCCAGACGGACATGGGGAACCGTTTGCAAATTGCGTGTGCCGAGGGTGTGGAATCCAAATTGTTGCTGAAACCCGGGGACTTTGTTGAAGGGACCATTTTGGCAGCGAAGTTTGAGGATGACAACTTGTGGTATCGGGCAGAGGTTGTGGGACACCATCGGGACACTGGTCGTTTAGAGGTCTTCTTTTTTGATTATGGCAACCGAGCTGAAGTGGGACTCGAGGATGTGCGGGGTTTGAGTCCTGAATTCTGTCAGCTTCCGAAACAGGTTGGCGTGATGACTTCCATCATATATTGTTGTTCTGTTTTTTTTCTTTTGCTGAAAGTTGGGAACATAATTCAGATGCTGCTATAGTTATATTTCAATAGTATGTACGCAAAAAAAAAGTAGAGGGAAAACGATGGAATAGATTTTGAAGATGCGCTCTGAAGAAGTTAAATTCTAGCTCAACTTCATTGATACGATGGGTTTGTTTTCTGCTTCTAACAGTATACTTATTCTGTTGACGTCGGCGTTGAAGAACGACAACTCAACATTCGAAGGAATTTGAAGCGTGACCCCGATTTAAGGACGATTCCACTTGAGACGCTATTGACTCAAAAAAATGTGCTCATAATACTCAGCCGAAATTTCTAGGAGAATTTTTTTTTAATTGATCCATTTCCTTGAACAAAAGGCAGAAAGATGTATCATTAGGAATTTACTCTTAATTCATCATCAACTGTTGTAGTATTGTAAATTTTGCATGCATAATTCGTAATAAGCAAGCTAAATTTTTGCTTCTTTTTTTTCAATCCACAACAAGATGTGTGCTAATTTTCTGATTTTTTCGAAACATTTTCATGCGAAAATGGCAGATTTTAGTGTGGTTTTCTTCTGTGATAAATTTTTCCACTTTTTTTGTTGCCAAGAAGTAGAAGTGATTAAAAATTGTCCCATTAAAGTCTGGGAAAACTTGACCCTGACATTCGGACATTCCGACCTATGGGACAAGATCCGAGAACTAATTCTGTCCACGTCTCGGTGTCCCATTTACATGTGATTTTGCCTTTTTTGAAGAGAAAAGAAAAAAAAATCCTGGATACTGTTCAGGATATGTTAAGTCGAGGTTGAAAATCGGCCCTTTTTAACCATGAAGTTTTTTGTGTCTCGAATTGAGTGTTCATTCAAAAATTTTTTTTTTCATTTCAGGCGATTCCTTGTTTACTTTCGCAATTGGCAAATACCTCAAAGGCGTACCCTGACGGCGATCCGACGGGTTACGTCACAAACCAATTCCCAGACCTATTCTTCAAAGCAACATTCCGTACGCAGAATTCTGACGGATTTTGGGACGTAGAATTGACATCTTCAGACGGGAAAAAATTGGAAGAGCAGTTGTGTTCGGATGGTTTCGCATCGATCGTCAATGGCGGTGGAGGCGAACCAGCAGCGCCAAAAATTATGACGCCTTCGACGAAAGTTGCCAATAGTTCCCAAGTATCGATGAGTGAATTGCGAAATTTGAGGGATGAAATCAAGGCGATTCCGGTGGGTAAAAATGCGGATGACAAGAAAACCGAGACGCAAAGGAACGGGTCTCATGGAGAAACTTCGCAAATTTCCGGATCCCAAAATGGGGTGAGCGCTGAATTACGAATCAATGCTCAGATGATATTTTTTGCGAATTTTCGGTTGATCTTTGAATAGTTCATCAAAAATTGTCTGGATCAAAACATGTATAAAAATTGTCATCGCAAAGTTTTTGTGGAGAGAAAAATTGCTCTTTTATATCCCCAGTTGACCACGACGGAGAAAACTAAAAATGTTCTTGTGCATTTGCTAAAATTTTCTACGAATGAACGCCGCAGTCAAATTGTTGATTTTGAAAAATTTTGCATTGCTGAATATCGACTATTTTTGTTGCTTCGTTTTAATTTTAGGTGAAAGAACCGGTTGAAGTTAAATTGGTCGAGTGGGTGCCAAATCTTAAGGATTTTATTCTGCGACTTCCATCTCCGGGAGCAGTTGGGAACATAGTTTCTCCAGCTACATTCGAAGTGGTTCCACCAGATTCCAAGTCTTGGCTGTCTTCAGTCAAAGGTGCCACTGGACTTAAGGTATGTGTTGAAAAAACCTTGAAATGTGTTGTGTTGGAATTGGCGTTTGTCGCGTTATTTCCGTTATTTTTAAGTTTTGAAAATTGCTAGGGTGTAACGCATCACAAATTGCATTCAGATGCAATGTATGTAGAATCTTTGAAAAGGTACGTTAAACTTGGCCACATTTTTCGAAGCAGAGATATTCCATCGAGTTTCTGATTCAATGCATGGAGTTCATTAATTATTTTTATTGCGAAGAAAAAAAGGCTCCTGAATCCTTCTCAAAAATACTGTATCTCACGATGAACAAGAAAGATGAGACGAAATTTTTAATCAAATGCTTGAAAGCTGGAGCACCCGAAAAAATATACACTATTTTGATAGCATGACTTAACCTTACCAACTTGATGAATCCTAGCATAACCTAAACTATAATTTCGGGGACGGGCTCTTGAAGGCTGAATTATTCAATTTTGTGTTAAGGGTTTGTTTTGCCAAATTTAGGACAATTGGAAAATTAATTCCGTAAAAATTGCGGAAAAAAATATTCGTGAATTTATTTGTTTTGTACCTCATTAGTGTGTGGAAGAAATATTTTGATCAACCTCGTTTGATTCCAGTGCTTTTTGACTGGTGTTGTTCCGGTGGACGGGAAATGGAGTGAGGAATCCATAGAGTTCTTCCGGAATGCGGTGCAAGATGACGAAATGTTTGTCACTGTGGTTCATTCCGGTGAAATGTGCGCTGTGAAGCTCAACACGAGTTCCGGAGATTTGGCTGAATTGCTCATCGAAAAGAATTTCGGCGTGCGTGGAATTGTTCTGCCCGCTTGGAATCCCGGAAAATATGAGGTTTGTTGAAGCTTTGATATTTGTTTTTAATGGGATGTTATATATGGGAGGAATGAAGCATAATTTTTGAGACGAATTGACATTATATCGAGCGATTCTTTGATCCACATTCTCTCAATCCACGTAATTCAGGAACGAACCCGTGCTTCTTTAACCCCTCTCCTCGCCAATATTTTTTATGAATCTCAACGATTGAATCGAGAATTTTCGGCATGGGATTTTTTTTACTCCAATGTTTGTGCCTGGATCCTCTGATCAAGAAGTAATGAAATTCAGCCCCAAGACTTCGAAAAAGCCTCATCTTTATCTGGATTTTTTTTTAAATTTCAGTCTTCAAATTTGCAAATTCTTGCTCTTCATTTGAAAGTTTTTGCCGTTCTTTAAATTAAGCATCACTGTGATTGCAGTGAATCAATTTCGAGGATTCTTTCAAAGACCTGGAACATTGTCACGAAATTATTGGTTATTTTTGTCTTTCTTGGAAAAAATTGGCGCTGAAGTTGGTCTCAAAAATTGTGGATCATTCCTCCGTGATGTTGAATAACGTCAAAATTGGCGAATCTTAATTGATTTTCTGCCTTTGTATTTCCCCCATTTGCTTTCGCATCAGGCCGTTCGTGAATCGTGATGGTGAGAGGAAATTAAACTTATTTTTTGTTGTTGTTGGTTTCCTGACTAGATGTGCAATCCGTATTAGTTCAAGGTTTTCATGTGTACGTTTCCCTGAGTTGGAATGAATCATCTTGTATCTGTTCTTGGTTGTGAAATAATCCGTTTTTTTTTTTCCTCAGGGATTTTTGGAATCTATCGATTTGGATGCGGGTTTTGTAGTTTTCCATGCCGAAGGAGACCGGTCTGATTTAGCAGCGTTAAGTATTCAGCTTGAAATCAACTTGTTGGAAGAGCAAAAGATGGAAAAGGTTCACGTTGGATCGTATTGTGCCTTGAGGTGATTTTCCTTCCACATTTTTTTTTCAAAAGCTCATGTGTGGCTGTTGGTTTCTTCTGCCAAACAGTAATACATTATTCGCTGGTGGATTCAAATCCACCTCTGAAGCTAATTCAGTGTAAATATACTTTCGAGAAAGGTAGAAACTAGGAGTTATTCTGAATATTTTACGGTTTTATTGTTGTAAAGAAAGGATGTCCACAATATTGAATCATTTTGAAAATGTTTCTACAAAATTCCTTGAAATGACAAACTGTTCAACTGAGAGTTCATTTCACAGGCAATTTCAATTTCTCAATAATTTTATGATCAATCATGCGGACTTGCGTCTGCTTCTGGGATTAATTCTGTCTGAAAACCAAAGCATTGCTAAAATGACGAACATGATTTTTTGTACATATTTTTTGCACAAATCTGCTTCAAGCTATTATTTTTGAAATTGGTATTTTCTTCACATCCAAGCTTTAAAACGCAATATTTCTGACTTTTCGATTTTTAAATGGAATTTTTAACCCGAAAATTGAAAGATTTTAATTATTGACATCTGCGGAAAACCTCACCAACTGCTCTGAAATTTTGTTAAAAAGCTTCATTTTGACGAAAATGTGTTTTATACAAATTCAAATATTGTTGATATTTGGCATCGACCTTGAAAATTAATTTGTTGTGAGCAATATTCCGTTTTTTTTTTCATTCAAGAATTAAGTACAGTATTATATTGTACTGTGTTGGTCATAATCGATGTTCTTGAGTGTCATTTGGAATGGATTATTTCATGGAGAATGTGTTTATTTTATCCTTTTCAAGAACTGGAATCGAAGGACTGAAGGATCCGAAGTGGGTGCGAGCTCAAGTGAGAGGCGAAGACTGTGATGAGTTGATAGTTTATTCAGTGGATACCTGCGAGGAACTCGTGGTGTCTAAGCGATTCGTGCAGCCCTTGCCTCAGGGGCTCTTTTACACTCCCAGCTTGGGTGTCAAGTGTGTTTTGAGTTGGCCCTGTCCCGATTGGGCCAGTGACAATGATATCAAGTCGGCTGCTTTAAAATGTGATTTGAATGGATGCGTGTTGGAGGTGAGCCCGGAAAACGAGTTCCGGGTGTTCAAGCGGTTGGGTGAAGACCTTGTCGACATTCCGACTTATTTAATGAAGCTGAGGTGAAGAAGGATTCTTTAATCTTTAAATTGTTTTCGATCATCTGAATGTGGATTGAGTTTTTCTCTGTATAACGATTCATGTTTTGGTCCCATGAAGATTTTTTCCCATGTTATGGAGGTTCTCTAAAACAAAATTATCTCTGAAACTTCTTTTTTCTGTTCCCTTGCATGTTTTTTGTAGAGTTGGATTTTGGCTTTGCAAATAATGATGTTATGAATCTTTCAGACAGTCCAGAGGACGGCAATATACATGTGGACTCTCCAAAACATGATTCTCTCTGAAACGAATTTTTTTCGTTCCCCTGAATTTTGAAAAACATTTTTGTGGAGATAGACTTTCAGCAGGAAAATTATCTCTAAAACTAATTTTTTGGTGGTCACCTGAATTTTGAAACTTCGTGTCTCACTAAGGAATGAAATGTGGCAGCAAGTGACATCTACCTATGCTGAAACGACTTGCTCTTGCGATGGACGAAGCTTTTGGCCACCAACTATTACCGATGTAATCAACTCTTGACCCTCTGCCTAATTTTTTAATTTTAATTTTGGGTATAGCATCCTAATGGTGCTTGAAATGGATTTTTTTTAATCGAAAAATGATTGAAAATTCCTCTGAAGATATTGATTACTTTTCGATCATCATTTGTCGTTTGCTCCATTTCAGGGATGAAGCTCCGAAAATATTAAATGTTGCAACGAACGCTGATTACCAGGAGATGCTTTTGCCTGTTGGTTCCGAAGAAGAATGTGTCATTTCCCATTTTGTCGACCCTGGCGAATTTTGGGTCCATTTTTCGAAGAATGCCGTGAATTTGAATTCACTCATGGGGCGACTGTTGGAGTTTTACGGGTTCGTGTCATTTTAAATTTCAAGATTATTACTATTCTTATTGATGAAAACAAATAATCTGATGATCGTGTATTTGGGATATTATTCTTCAGAAACTTTGAAGCGGATGAATGTTGGAGTGCCATTGAACCTGGAACGGTCTGCGTTCTTCAGTACCCAGATCACATGTATGTTCGTGGAGTTATTCAGGATCGGAGCGATGATCCGAATAATACCCTGATTTGGGTCCGGGCCTTTGACTATGGAAGTCAGCATCGTGTGCCCAGAGGTTCGTATTTTGCATATATTTTTTCAATTTTTTTCATTGTGGGTCAGATGGATTAATTTAAATTTCATAAGACGTTGCGCAAATGCAGATTGCATCAAATTTCCTTGTATTACATTAATTTCATTCCTGCTAATTCGACTTGTTATTTTAGATTTTTGTTGTTGCTGTACTGGAGCATGCCGACTTATTTTTCTTTCAAAGAAAATATTTCAGCAAAATTCGGAAGCAAGTATTAAGAAGATATAGCATCGATGCCACTAAGAAATTTTGTCCGTTGAGGAAAAAATAACTTATTTGTTTTTCATGAGAATCTTTTATTTGGTGTCGAAAAATGTGTAATCCTTTAAATTATTATTTTTGGTTGTTCTGTTGAAAAATTGGTTCAGGTTGGGTAGATGTCACTGGCTGTTAAGAAATTCCCGCAAGTTCTCCGTTTTTGATCCAAACAAAATATCGTTCAGGAATTCTTGATTGAAAATACAGAAGAAAGTGAATAGCAGCAAAAATTAGCAATTATAAAAAAAGATCGATGTCCAACACGATTAAGAATTTTGAGAAAACGTTGATCAACTTACAAAGATTGGAAAATCTTTTATAAACTTTGCAATTTTTTCAATTCTTTTTTTTTTTGCTGACAGAATGCAAAAATCTGTGTTTTGAACCGATTTATTTCAATTTTTTCGCAGAATTCCTCAAGAAAATCGAGCCGGAATTTCTCGAAGAACCCGCGTACTCGGTTTGTTGCCGGATCCAGGCCAAACCAACCGAAGATAAATGGAGTCACGAAGCCGTGGAAGCCTTCGAACAACTGACCCACAATGAAGGTCACGAGAGGAAATTTACTGTCAAATTCCACCACGTTCAAGGCGGGGAAAATGTGCGGTACATTGTGGACTTATTCGACTCTGACGGCCATAGTGTGACCGACAAATTTGTGTCTCTGGGTCACGGGATTGCGTTGGACGAGTCTGAGAACCTGGATGATGAATCCTGGCTTGAAGTCAAAGAGCTTTATTGATCCTACCACAGAAAAAAGGGTTGATCTTGAGATTTTCTGCGTCATCTGCTTGGTAAGGATTTCTGATGAAATCATCTTTATGCATCTTTAGAGAGATGAAAAAAATTTTACTTGGGGAGTTTTTGATTAAGGGAAACCAGCACTTTTGCTGTGGACAAGAAATTATAGAGGGTAGCATTACTGATACAGTAAAATTCTCATTACCTTTGAGGGCTTCGAGAAAGTTTATTATACTGAATGATTTGTTAGAACAACATCTTGAAAATTTATGACAGGAAAAAGTTTTCACATCAATCCTGTCTGTAATCGGTCAGATAAGCCTAACTCAGAGGGTCCCACAGAAAATTTCACTTAACAAGTTTTTGAGTAAGGGAAACTAACAATTCTGCTGAGAAAAATAAATGACGGATAAAATTATAGACAGTGAAATCTCGTTACAACAAACTTTTGGGGACTTCAGGAAAAGTTTGTTATATTGAATAATTTGTTGGTGCAAGATTTTCAAAATCCATCGCTGGAAAAAGGTTTTTCATATCAGGCCTGTCTGTAATCAGTTAGATCTTGCTTTTCTGATTTTTTAAATTATCTGAAGAAGAAGCAATCTTCTGAGAGCTTCAATCAGAATAGCTTCAATCATGCATTCCACTGGTCGCAGTTTTCGAGTGACAGTTGTTGCACTGTAGAAGAATCAGACTAAGATTACGCTGTAAAATTCATAGAAAATTATTTTATTCTCGTAGTTTCTTGACGAATTTTTGTGGGCCATAACATGATGCTATCTTGCAGAAATCCTGAGAATTCTTTAACCTTTTTCTTTCAGGAAGGAAGAAGAACAAGCTGGAAGTCCAATCTGAATTTTTCCTGTCTGACCAAGAATTTCCCAACTCGGAAAGCTCATTTAGTTGATGTCGTGAATGTTCCCTGTGTAGAAATCATTTTTGCCTTTGATCAAATTTCGTGTGATCAACGGATTCATGTGTCGCGGCAGTACTTCGTGTGTTACAGTGTATACTCAAATTTATGTTCAAAAAAAAATACTGTTCCAAGGGATTTCGCGTAAGCGTTACTGCTTTAAGACGCGCTTTTCCAGTGCGTCTCCAAACTCGGCCCTTTTAAACTTTCCAGTGGCACTGTGTGATCCGTGAGATAATGTGCCTTTTTTTGTGAAGTTGGAATTACTGTATTTGCCAATTTTTAAGCCTCGAATTGAAACTGTGAGGTTCGGCGTGCCAGGTGAAATTTTTTTTCCGTTATTTTTCGTGTGTGCAAGGGTTGTCTGGCTTCTGCACGAATCGGAGTGAAGAAACTAAGTTAATTCTTGAATCTGAGATTGCTTGGAATAATCATTTCGGTTCATCCTCCACATTCCCACAATTGACTTTGAATTTTTGCATTGAAATACCTCATAGACTTCAGCTCTATTCCTGTTACACGTTGTGAAGGGATATGAATTGAGTTATAAAACTCGATTTTGAAAATGCATCAGGAGAATCTCTTAACAATTAACCCTTGGAACTTGGTAAAAAATTGTTAACAAAAGATTCGTTATAGTGAGTCTCAAGCAGAATTGTGGCTTTTCCGGATGGATCTCACAAAATACACTAATTCCTTCTAAAAATTAATTCCTTGTGCCAAGCTTTCACCACACTGTTTATTTAATAAAACTTGAAATGTATGAATCAGAATTTCCAGGCTTTTTTCTAAATTTGCATCTGCCAATAGTTATCTTCAAATTTCTTTTCAACTGTTGAGGAATTTGAATATTATTTCCGGATTATGCCGCTAAAAATCCAGACAACCCTCGCATATTTGTTGGGAATTCGTTGAAGCAAAATATTATCCACAGTGTTCGAATACGGACTGTGTCAAGAATAAATACCGATCAAGTTGAGAAATACCTTTTGAAAGTTATTCAAATCTTGCAACTGGTCGATATTAGATGTATGAAGTACTTTTATCAAGTTTTCATTCATCACACGCTTAGTCCTCCGAATTTAACCTGTCGTGAAACGAACCTGATATAACACTTGACAACCTTGTATTCAAGTCATTTTTCTCTTGATTGAGTCATGATGAGTGTTAGACTGACATCTCCGGATAAGGCTAGTTGTCCAATGGTTGTCATGAAACCGGATTTTTTCCAAGAAAACTGTTTTTTTGCGGCCATCGGTGATCGTTCAGAAGGCGTAGAGAGAGTCGAAGGGATCATTCGTGATTTTATGCATACCAATGATCCCCCGGTCCCCGCGGAAGAGTTCTGGAGAAGCAACGTCGTGACCCTGTTTTTCAGCAATGTTCTGGGACATTGGGTTCGCGGTTGGGTCACGAAGATTTCAGAAGAGCTTAAGCAGGTTTGTACAAGCATTCTGATAAACACTTTTAAATTCCATTTGATGGATTATAATGTTCTGAAAGTTGCTTCAATCGGATGAGGGAAGGTCTGTTTATGATTTCCTCGGGAAAATTAGTTTTGAATTTAGCTTCACAATCAAGTCANAAAACTGGATGAACTACTGCAACCAACATTGGAAGAATGGTTGCAAAATAGCATGATTGAATCACGTTTCAGCCACAGGCTATTGACAGTGAATAAAACACTGGTGAATGAGCTTCTCAACAAAGTTGATTCTGGAAAATCTTGCAAAGATGCCTACAAGAATGCGTGAGCATTAAAATTTTACTTTTTTAACATGGGAAAAACTAGCCAGTAAGACCCTTTATCTTCCAAGTCATTATACAGTATTCTTTTTCAATGAACAGCCTGAAGTTTCAATTTTCTCAAACCCCTTCACCCTTAATATTGACTTAAAATTTTAAATCACAATTTCAATTTTCTAATCATATGTGCTCATGACTTACCAGCATTTGGAATTCCAATAATACTGCACATTGTTTCTCTGGGGATTTTTTTCTAAATACAGTACAATAAAACATAACATGCTGGATTAAAAAGATTACAAGTGAATGTTGGAGCTTGATTGAATAAAAAAAGGATAATGCAGTGACAATTTTATGCAGCACTGATGTCATGCACAAAGTTTTAGGAAAAATCATCAAAGGTCTTGTAACAAGAAATCTTGCCATAACAACTTATAATTTATAAATTACATTATTTTAGGATCCCTTGCAGTATTGTCACAAATTTATTTGAGTCTCGTATTATAAAAAAAATTTCATGTTTTTTTCCAGGTCACAGCAGCTTTGTTATAATATTTCATTATATGTACATGGTAAATGAGTGTGCTCCTGTAGTAGAAAAACTGGATGAACTACTGCAACCAACATTGGAAGAATGGTTGCAAAATAGCATGATTGAATCACGTTTCAGCCACAGGCTATTGACAGTGAATAAAACACTGGTGAATGAGCTTCTCAACAAAGTTTATTCTGGAAAATCTTGCAAAGATGCCTACAAGAATGCGTGAGCATTAAAATTTTACTTTTTCAACTAAGAAAAACTAGCCAGTCATCAGATACTCTTTATCTTCCCAATCAAGGATCATCATATACTTTTTCAATGCACAGCCTAAAGTTTCAATTTTCTCAAACCCCTTCACCCCTAATATCGACTGAAAAATTTAAATCACAATTTCAATTTTCTAATTATATGTGCTCATGACCTTCCAGCATTTGGAATTCCAATACTGCACATTGTTTCTCTGGGGATTTTTTTTTCTAAATTCAGTACAATAAAACATAACATGCTGGATTAAAAAGATTACAAGTGAATGTTGGAGCTTGATTGAAAAAAAAGATAATGCAGTGGCAATTTTATGCAGCACTGATGTCATGCACAAAGTTGTAGGAATTATCATCAAAGGTCTTGTAACAAGAAATCTTGCCATAACAACTTATAATTTATAAATTACATTATTTTAGGGTCCCTTGTAGTATTGTCACAAATTTATTTGAGTCTCGTATTATAAAAAAAATTTCATGTTTTTTTCCAGGTCACAGCAGCTTTGTTATAATATTTCATTATATGTACATGGTAAATGAGTGTGCTCCTGTAGTAGAAATTTCAATTTCACTTCATTAGCACCAACCATTCAAGAGACAACTGTTCATAAAATGTGTCATCCTTTCTCCACCCTCTATATGAGTTTTGGTTGCAGTCTCCGTCCTCACCATGTACTAAATTTCCTCCAGGTTGAAATGCGCCATGAAATTGCAAGCAGTTGATGCAGATGTCACTCCTGGTAGCACGGAAAACGTGCTTCTGTCATGGACCAATAAGGTTCCGTCCTTTTACCTCCGGATTTGTTCCAAACTCGATTCACTCTCAGAGTTCACCAAAGCCTTGGGGGCAGAAAACTTGAGCGAAATCGGAACACCTGTAATTGGAAAAGATATTTCAGTCGGAATGCTGTTTGCTGCCTCGTTTGAAGGCTGTTGGTATCGCGTGCAAATTTTGGATCTCAAGGCCTCTTGCGCTAACGTATTCCTCATTGATTACGGGGAAGAGAGGAGTATTCAGATCAAGGATTTGAGGGTTTTACCGGAACCTTATGTCAAATTTCCAATGCAGGTTCGTTGACAAAACGTCTTTTTCACTAGCAATTACAGTGAAATTCAGTTACAATGCATTGCATTGATCTGCATGTGGATCAACTTTTTTACTTGTCAGATACTCCGTTTATAAGCTTCGCATGAAAAATAATATCTCAGAAATATTATTCATTTACAGTAAGTCAGCTCATTTAATTTTTCAACTGGGAAATTTAATTCCAATGCTGTGAAAAATGTTTATTCTTTCTTCTGCTAGACGTACAAATATTTCCTGCTTTCAAAATCCTTTTTTCTTGACCAGGGAGGTGGCAGAATTTTAGAGGATTAGTCAAAAGAATAAACTGAATAAAAACGATAAATGAATCACGATAGTTGAATACTCTAGAGAATACGATAATTTTATTTTCATGCTTTTTGTTGCTAAACTTCTGTATATGGATTGAATCACTGAAATAAACTGCAATCGCTGTATTTCCAGGCAATCCGCGGGGTTCTCTACGGGGTTCTCTGCGACCCACGGAAATTCAAGACCAGTCCACAGGAATACGTGCTCAAGAAATTCCCCGAGGCGTTGTTCAAGGCCACTTTTTTGTCGCGGAATTTTGACGGCAGTTGGTGCGTTGATTTGGTTGGAATCAGAAACCGGGAATCTCTGGTGCAAGTGCTTTGCAGAGACGAAATCGCTTTCCGCGCAACCCCGCGACCCGTGAGAAAACCCTTGGGCGGAATGTTGTCCGAACGAGAAATTTCTCACTTGAAGAGGCATTTGGCAGAGACCAATAATAACAATGGTCAGTGAATGAGTGAATTTGTGCATGCNAGTCAATAATTCGCACGCGTCGAAAATTGAGAAACAAGCTGTGCGCTTTGTAGCACCTCAACGCGAAATGTCAACCGCTAAAAGTCTCGCAAAATCGGATGCGTCAGTAGCTGCTGTTTTAATTCCGCTGTGCGAATCCGGAGAGAAGGTTATTACGGAGTTGTTCGAGGACTTCGGTGCTGAACCAAAATTTGCAACTGCTTTTCCATGTTCCACGCCTGCACCTTCGCCAGTGAGAATGAGCATCATCTCAAGGCGAGAAAGCCTAGAAAATGGCGGCGAGGAAGATGGCCATTTTGAAGTTTTATCAAAGAGCGCTTTTGAATCATCAGTTGGATTCAATAAAATGGACGAGTTTGATTATTTGGAAACTGGAGAACTTCAAGAACAAGCTACTTTTAATTTTTCAGCCATGATGAGTGAGGTAAGAATTTGTTCTTCAGCAGTTGCAAGAGAGCAAAGCTTCTATTTTTAATCTCTTCATTATCATTGATATTAAAAGGATTAGATAAAATAACAGTTGGTAACTACAAAACCCCTTTTTCAGGCATGAGTTTTATCATGAGAACTTTTAGGACAAGCTATTTTTTTATATTTGAGCCATGATGAGTGAGGTGAGAATTAGCTCTTTGAAAGTTGCCAGACTTGCCAGAAAGTTGCTTCTTTTGATCATTCAAATTAAAGTGATTTGAAAAAATACCATTGCTTATGACAAAATATCTTTATCAATGCATTAAATTTATTATGAGAACTTGAAGAAATAGCTACTTCAGATATTGTAGCCATGGTGAGTGAGTCAAGATTTTGTTTTCCAGCAGTTGCAAGAGAGCAAAGTTTCTTAAGCAACACTTTTCATTTTCTAATGCCAAAAATAAAGGAAGCCTTAAAGGATTTAGAGGTTTTCTAATTAAAAAATAGGTTTTAAAGCAGGATTTGCCAGAATAAAACATGTGCATTTCTTTTTGTGCACCCTTTATCATGGTTTCTAGTCAACAACATGAAGGAAATTAGAAATGTGCATTTTCCTATTGAGATTAATTAAATCAATGTGTCTTCCTTAAAATCAAGGAAGTCCTTCAGGATTTAAATCTATTCTCATCAAAATAGCAACAAATTTGTGCTAAAGCAGAATTGAACAGATTAAAACTCCTTTTGTATACCCTGTACAATGATTCACCACAAAGGAAGTTTCACATTGGTAGAACATGGTTTTCCTCAAATCCAATTATTTTTTGTGAATTTCTCTTATAGGTACTTATCACAAAGCCCACAAGAACACCAGCAACTCAAAACATCACAAATCCATACAAGACCATCACAATCTCTTCCATTTCAATGTATGACTGCCTTGTGACCAGTATTTCAAGTCAAGATGATTTCTGGGTGCAGTTGGCTGAGAATGCTTTGGAGCTTGAAGAACTTATGCTTCAAATTTCATCTTCAACTAAATTAGTTCAAATGCCTCTTCCCAAAATTGGAGACCCATGTTTATTCATGGTGACACCTGGCCTAGTTCTCAGAGGACTCATTGTGGAAACTGATTCATCACTATCAGTGTCTGTGGTGGCAGTTGATTTTGGATGCATCCAAGAAGTTCTTCCAAGTATGTGCAATCATTCTCACACATTTTTTTTTCAATTTCATGAAAATTAATTGAGCTTTTATTTTTTGCAGGGCACATTTTTGAAATAGAAGATAAATTCCTTGAACCTCCTCAGTTTGCTGTGCATTGTGGAATTGTGCAATACCCACAAAATATGGATTCCATTGAGTGGCTTGGAACTTATCAGATGCTGTTCTCTGAATTTTTCAGGGATATGAACTCTGGAAAGTATTTTGTTGAACATTTTCAGCACTGGAATGAGGATGATTACTATGTTCAAACTTGAGCCTGATTTAATCAACTACTGTGAATATTTTGCCTGCGTT